CGAAAGCCTCTCCTCAGCATGCCTAGCAAGGCAATGTTGAATAATCCTTGCCAGGACCTTTCCCGGCACACTGAGGAGTGAGATGCCCCTGTAGTTGTTACAGTCTGTGCGGTCCCCCTTCTTAAAGAGGGGGACCACCAGGGCATCCTTCCAATCCTGCGGAACCCGTCCAGTGGTCCAGACTGTTGTTATGATGTCGTATAGGGCAGTCTGTGCACAAACGCCACCCTCCCTCAGCATTTCGCTTGGAAGATCATCTCTGCCCGGTGCCTTTTATGGTCTCAGACTCCGGATCGCCTTCAGTACTTCCTCAACAGATGGCACCTCAGCCAGCCACTCATAGGGGGTGACTTCTTCCAATATTTGAGGCACCGCAGCCTCAGCAGGGTTATCCCCACTTTGTGCCATGATGTTTTCCTGGCTGAGGGATTTCCCCTCCCCCAGGACCTCACAGAAATGCTCAGCAAATCTGCAAACCTGTTCCTGGGGGTCGGAGATTGGATCACTGTTTTTTCCCCCTAATGATGGTAATAGGTGTGGCGGCTGCAGGTTACTTTTTTGATGGAGTTAAATAGTGATTTGGATCGCGGGCCACTGAGGCAGAATCCATCTCCTCAGCAACCCGTGACCACCACCCATCCTTGCAGCGTCTTACGGCTCTCCGAACCTCCGAGCGAAGGACTGCGGTAATCTTCCTCATTCTCTGACGTGGGATGCTGTAGCCGATTAGAGTGGGCCTGGTCGCTTTTTCTCAACTATTCTGACACCTCCTCTGTCAGCCAGAGTTTCTGGGGAGGTCTGGAACCGCGTACTCAAAGCAGCCACTGCAGCTGCATGAGTCACAGTCCTCAACCTCGCCCATTTACCCTCGACAATCAGGAGGAGTGGGGGACGATGCCAACCCCAGCTGCAAGCGATGATGAAATTCTCGCTTGCAACTTTCATCAGCTAACTGAGACCAGGCCACTTTAGGTTGGAATTGGGTCCTGGGTGTACACACCACTACCGGAGTGAAGAATGGCAGGCCGCATCTTACAGATGACTAGTCGATGGTCAGAGGGCAGATCAGCTCCACGGTAGGGTCCTGGTGTCAAGGACATGGGCTCGAATCCGCTGGTCCGTCACTACGTAGTCCAGCAGATGTTCTTGCTTGGACCCGGCATGCATCCATGATGTTGTGTGGATGCGCCGATTGCCGGAAGAGCGTGTTGGTAATTAAAAGCCCATGGGCTGCACAAAAATCTAGCAGCCTCCTGCCGTTGTTATTGAGCTGATCTGGCCCATGCCTTCCAATCACTCCAGACCAGGTGCCAGCATCATGACCAACTCGGGCATTGAAGTCCCCCAACAAGATGACTCTGTCCCGAGTGGCCACTTTAGCCAGCACCTGTGACAGGAGGTCATAGAAAGCGTCTGACTCATCGGCTTTGCCTGCATCCCTCCACTGATGTTCGTCTTCTGTGGGGCATAAGTAACCACGACCACCACTCCACACACACCCACACAACTACACACACACACAACTACACACACACACAACTACACACACACACAACTACACACACCCACAACTACACAACCACGAAAAAACAAAGATAAAGATCCCCCATATAAACATAACAGACTATTGGGGCAAGTGCTGTTAGCGAGCACCTATGAAGGCCACCCACATGTTACCCCCAGTCACCCCCCACGTGACCCCCACTCACCCCCACGTGACCCACAGTCACCCCCCACGTGACCCCCACTCACCCCCACGTGACCCCCACTCACCTCCACGTGACCCCCACTCACCCCCACGTGACCCCACTCACCTCCACGTGACCCCCGCACGTTAAAGACCTCGGGACGTTTCACGTCTCCACGAACCACCTCGCCGCGTTAAGCCGCTTGGGGAATCGAATCGATGTTCGGTATCGGGGTTCGTGTACGAGCGGGGAATAATCGATTCGTTTAAACGCACTGCGGGCTATGGGATTGGAAATCGATTCCTTTAATGAGAAGTTTCGATTCCGATTTATAGGCTCGCGTCTCTTCCGAGGCCGGGCGAAAGGCGTCCGGTGACGTCACTCCGTAAGGGTGACATGACGTCATCGCCCGATGCGTGTCTGACGCAATTACGTCACTCACTAAATGATAAACTAAAACTATCTATAGTTTTCTGGTTAGATTCTGTTGCTATTTCTTTATACCTGATGATGATTGCTTGTGTTGCAGTCGAAACGTCGTATATGCTATTATTAATTTATTATTTTATCTTTATACGTGACTTTACCGAAAGAACCAAAGAATAAAACTAATTTTTAAATCTTTTTTAGTCTTACCTGGAGATTTTTTTGCGGAGATTTTTCTCAGACGCGACCCGGTTATCACAAAGTAGGGCCCAACGAAGTGAACTTATCATCATCATCATCACGTGGAAACTTATAGCAGCTCTAAGGGGACGTCCATAAATGACGTCACGCGATTTTGGGGCGATTTTTGCCCCCCCCCCCTCGTCACACGGCGTCACAAGAAGTCAGACCCCCCCCTCAAATATGACGTCACAAAGCTCTGCCCCCCCCCACCCCCAATAAAACATGCGTCAAATCGCTTTAAACTATTGTCATTGCAGTGCGTGTTTAATGTGGCGCTGCACTCTGATGCTGTAGGAGAAAACATTTATTACAAAGTCTATTTAATTAGGTAATGGAGGGGGGTGGTAGAGGGGGGGGGTGGAGGGGCGGGGGGTGGAGAAGGGGGTGGAGGGGGGGTGGAGGGGGTGGTAGAGGGGGGGGGGAGGGGGGTGGGGGGCGGGGTAGTTGAGAGGGGTGAAGGGGCGGGGTGGTGGGGGGGGTGAAGGGGAGGGGGGGTGGTGGAGGGGGTGGTAGGGGCGGGGTGGAGGGGGGGGTGGTGGAGGGGGGGTGGAGGGGCGGGGTGGGGGAGGGGGTGGTGGAGGGGTGAAGGGGCGGGGTAGTGGGGGGGGGTGGAGGGGCGGGGTGGTGGAGGGGCGGGGTGGAGGGGGGGGTGGAGGGGGGTTGGAGGGGCGTGGTGGTTGGAAGGGGCGAGGGTGTAGGTGGAAGGGCGGGGTGGTGGAGTGGCGGGGTGGTGGAGGTGGAGGTGGGTGGAGGTGCGCGGGTGGAGGGGGGAGGGGGGTGGTGGGGTGGAGGGCGGGGTGGACGGGGGGAGGGGGGTGGGTTGAGGGGGGTTGGGAGAGGGCGGGGTGGAGGGGGGAGGGGGGTGGTGAAGGGGGGGTGAAGGGGCGGGGTGGTGGAGGGGGGTGGGTGGTGGAGGGGTGGTGTTGGGGGGGGGGTGGAGGGGCGGGGTGGAGGGGGGAGGGTGGTGGGTGGGTTTAGAGGGCGGGTGGGCGGGGGGGTGGTGAGTGGGGGTGGTGGGGCGGGGTTTCCTGTCTCCTCGCTACTTCAACTTTCCGGCCCGCAGGCAAAACCAGGAAGAGACTCCCCGTCAATGGCCGCCTGGTGTAGTTGTCGCCCGCTGCTGCCGCTGCTGCTGTGCTGCTGGCGGTGTGAGGAAGCAAGGCAGTGGCCGGGTTGTCTCTGAGACCCTCTCCCACCTCTCTCTCGTTTGTCTCTCCCGTGTCTCTCCCACACCCCCGTGTCTCTCAGGCTTCCCCTGTTGTCCATAACCGTGCGTCGACCCACACGGTTCCTCCCCCCCCCCCGTGTTGTTGCACGAGTTCGCGGCTCCGTGCCGGCGTGCCGCGTCGTGTGTGTTTGTGTTGAGATGCATATCGGGCACGGGGTGCATACTCTTGGGTTGTTTCGGTAAAGTTACGTGGGTACAAAATAAAACAAAGTGAACTAAATGACGACGTTTCGGGCGCAAACACAAGCAAAGGGGATATATAGGTAAGAGAGGGCCCCCCCCCCCCCCCGTCTCTAACCTATATGGCCTCTTGTTGCAGCAGCCCCTTTTGCCCACTTCAGCAATTGTTTCTTGCTGTGGTTGTCCCACCTGGTGACGGACGCTTGTGTTGCGCCCGAAACGTCGTGATTTAATTTAATTTGTTTTATTTTACACCCACGTGACTTTACCGACAGAACCAAAGAGAATGGATCCCGGCAGTCACGAAAACTTCAAATCTAGATTGGGCACGGGGTGACCAATGAGGTCTGAATTGGTCTGTATTACGGCAGGGCACTGATAATGGATTGACAGATCTATAGTGGTGAGTGTAGTAGTGGTGAGTGTAGTAGTGGTGATTGTCTATTGTGTTTCCCCCTTGTGATGGCACTCTGTAGGATGAACGTTGAGATTTGTAAGTGCACGGAGTGCCCAATACGGTGTGAATTGGTCTGTAATAGGTAGGGCACTGATAAGGGATTGACAGATCTATAGTGGTGAGTGTAGTAGTAGTGGTGATTGTCTATTGTGTTTCCCCCTTGTGATGGCACTCTGTAGGATAAACGTTGAGATTTCTAAGTGCACGGAGTAACCAATACGGCGTGAATTGGTCTGTAATACGGCAGGGCACTGATGAGGGTTTGACAGGTTTGTGTATCTCCCCATGGTGGCGAGATGTGAACTACCTCGCCTGGTACACGGAAGGTCGTGGGTTCGATGCCACTACGGACGAGCCACCACCCAGCCCAGCCGCATCCATTCCATTAGCAACCCCCTTGCCTCCCTGCCTTAGCCCGCAATCGTAACGAGTCTCTCACCAAGGGCGGTTTGTCACACGATGCGACGCAAGGAAGCACGGGAGACGCGGGGAGACGCGGTGAGAGCCAGGGAAAAGGCCCGCGAGACATGTGGGGAGACAGGGCGATAGGACAGCAGGACACGGTGATGGTAAGACACGGGGAGAAGGGAGACGCTGGATGCCTGGGTGATGCACGGCGAGAGACGCTGAGACACGGGAGATAAGGGGGACGTTCATTAAGACACGGCGAGACTTGGGGGAGACAGGGCGATCAGACGGTGAGACACGGGACACAGACACGGTGATAGACGGCGAAATACGTGTAAGCCACGGTCAGACAGGGATACAAGACGATGCAGGAAGAGACTCAGTGATGTACAGTGATAGACGGTGAGGCAGTGAGAGGCCACACTTTTTCAGTTTCATTTATTTGGTAGAGCCCTGTGAGCCATTCGGCTCTTGAATCGGGCGCAACCGCAACAAACAAAAACATGAACAAGAAAACATCTTAAAGTGACTACGCGCAAACAGAAAAATCCAGGAAAAAACAGCAAAAGTCTTCCAGAAAAAGCCACCGTATATCAATGCTGTGTGCAAAAATCCCAGTGGGATGCAAGTCAAACAATAACAACCATAAGACAATTTAGATTATAGTTATCAGTCTGAGCTATGTAGCTCCTTTTCAGAAGCGACCTGGCCGCACATGATGGCTCAGCGAAGTGGCTTTTCATCTTCGTGTGGAAATGTATAGCAGCAGGCAAACACTCCCAAACCCGTGACCTTGATTCCACGCGACCACGGGGAGAGGCACATGCAAACTCCAACTATACAGCAGGCGTCAGGGTCGGGATCGAACCCACGACCTCCTGCATACCAGGCGAGGTAGTTAACATCTATTCACAGTGATGATGAGAGAGAGAGACGCAAACTCCAAATATACAGCAGGCGTCAGGATCGGGATCGAACCCACGACCTCCTGCATACCAGGCGAGGTAGTTAACATCTATTCACAGTGATGATGAGAGAGAGAGACGCAAACTCCAAATATACAGCAGGCGTCAGGATCGGGATCGAACCCACGACCTCCTGCATACCAGGGCAAGGGAGTTGACATCTCCTATTCCCCGTAATTATGATGATGAGAGAGAGACGACAACTCAAAACATACAGCAGGTGTCAGGGTCAGGATCGAACCCACGACCTGCATACCAGGCGAGGGAGTTAACATCTCCTAGAAAAATCGGTGTCCTCCCCCCAACTCACATCAGCCTTTCACCTCCAGTGCCATTGTTTGACGGCACGCCGCAGTGTTTCGCGTTTGACACCACGTGGAGGGGAGAGGTTAATTGTGCAAGTTGGCAGAGGGTGTGTGGAGCGCTGGAGTGCCGGGTGCCTCTTCTGTCGGGCATCTCAGTTAACCCGGAGCATCTGCGGGTCTGTCCCATGACCTCCCGGCAAGACGAGGCTCTAAGAAAAGCTGTCTCGGGTGTGGACCGATCAATTTCAAGGACAGTGCATACATTATCAGAGTTGTGTTTTTTGTTTGCATTCCAACCGCAGGTATTGAGGTCAATGCAAACATGACTCCTTGTAAAAAAGGTGTCAGTTTTGTTGCCAGATAAAAGGGTAGGAAACCAATTATCATATTTTGCTACTGGCAAAGGAGGTTCCAATGATGTTACAGTAATCAAGTCGAGGAAGTATGGTGGCTTTTATCAATTCCAAATGGAACATAGGGGGGAGGCAATGCTTGTGTTGATACAGAAAACCAATATTGAATTTTGTCTTTTTACCAATATAATCAATGTGATCTTGAAAATTCAGTTTTGAATACTTATATATCTTGACTCGCTCTATTTGATAATTATTTAAGGAATGCAATTGGGGAAAAATAACCTCCTGCTTTAGTCCTGGTGAGAAGCATAGCACCTTGGTTTTGGAGGTATTCAGGACTAGTTTCAGAGCAACTAGCTGATGTAATTTTTTTAAATCACCCTGGAGCTTAGCAATCACGTCATCCAGAGAGCGGCCAGCAGTAATCAATATCGTGTCATCTGTAAACAGATTTACCCTGGAATGATCCAGGTCAGAGCCCAAGTGATTGACACAGAGAGAACAAGAGGGGGCCGAGGATGGAACCCTGCGGAACCCCTTTTGTTATCTTAACACTATCGCCACTCGGGAGACAAAGGCGGCCGGGCGTGGTGCTGGCCACCCACCCCCTTGTGTGCAGTGCCGGCCTTCATAGGTGCTCGCTAACAGCACTTGCCCAAGCAGTCTGTTAAGGCTATACAGGGGATCTTTGTCTCTGACCAAATCGTCCGAAATGCACTTGATCCCGTGATGTTCTGATCTCGTGATGCCTCGTGGACACCAACCAGGGCTGTGCTTGGAGTAGGTTTTTACCCTTTCTGGCAATACAACAGCCGTTGTTAAGATGGTTAAACACCAAAAAGATTCCTGTCGGAAGGGCATTGAGTAGTGGCATTCAACACCTCCCTTTCCCTGGGGACAGACTCCAGCACTACTATACACTATACAACACTATACACTACTATACACTATACACTACTATACACTACTACACTATACACTACTATACTATATACGACTACATTACACTACTACACTATACACTACTACACTATGCACTACTACACTATGCACTACTACACTATGCACTACTACACTACACTATATACACTATATCCTACTATACACTACTACACTATACACTACTACACTATACACTACACTACTATACACTACACTATACACTACACTATACACTCTAGCTCTTCCTGGGGAATTCCCAGACTTTCCCAGGCCAGCCAAGTGAAATAGTCAAGCTTGGGAAAGGCAGCAAGAACAACAACAACAATCCCAGACCACACCAAGATACATGCAACACAGTAGTAGTCCCTCAATAACAAATAATAGATCACGACGTTTCGACCGCAACACAAGCAGTCGTCACGATCGGAACGTCGTGAGAGGGGTGGTGGGTGTGTTGCGGTCGAAACGTCGAGATCTGTTATTTTTCTATCTTGATTTGAAGCTTTCGTGACTGCAGGAATCCATACTCTTTGGTTCTTTCGGTAAAGTCACGTAGGTAGAAAATAAAATCAAATAGATCACGACGTTTCGGGCACAACACAGGTGGGAAAGCATTGACTGCTTTCCCACCTGATGACGGATGCTTGTGATCTATTTTATTTTCTACCTACGTGACTTTACTGAAAGAACCAAAGAGTATGAACTGTACTTGTGTGCCCTCATTTATCTATGTCCCCCCACCTCCAACATTCCGCATTGACCACATGGGTAAAGTAGATTCGAATAACTCCTCTGACATGCACGGAGTGGGGAGGCCCTCTTCCCGCAGTGGACGGATATAAAGACGTGCACTGCACAATGTGTTTGCGTGCGCGTGTGTGTGTGTGTATGTGCAAGCGTGTCTTTGTGGAGAGCGGTGTGGTAGTGTAGCTGTGCTACGAACCCGGCGACCTGGGTTCGATTCACGGCCAACATTATTGACGAATATCTGAACCGGTTCTGGGCCTCCCCTAGGTTGACTCCGTCTCAAATGAGCAGCACCTGGTGCGGTGTGTAAACATCTCCACTGGGGAGACAGACAGCTGGGCATGGTGCTGGCCACCCACCCCCTCTAACACAGTTTCAGCCTTCATAGGTGCTGCTCGCTAACAGCACTTGCCCCAGCAGTCTGTGAGGGCTGTTTAAGAGGGTCTTTAGAGGAGGGTCTCGAACCAAAGAGGATGGATTCCTGCAGTCACGAAAGCTTCATATCAAGGAGGGTTTTTGTCTTGCAAGCGAGTTTGATTCTGGCTCACGGCCAACACTGGAGATGATGATCTGAGCCTCCCTTAGGTCAGGGGTCGGCAATCTGTGGCTCTTTACTTATTACAGACCAATTCAGACCTTCTTGGTCACCCCGTGCCCCTTACACATGTCAACGTTCATCCTATAAAGTCCCACCACAAGGGAGAAACACAAACAAATAAACAAAAGAACACATCTTGCCCGTCACTGAAACGCTTGTACACCGTATAGACGGCGTATAGACCCTGTGCAAGCATACGGGGCAAACCGCATGGGTTGACAGATATGTAATTGGCACGTTTGTAACGAGTTGGCCACGTTTTGCTTATGTAACAAACCTTTACTGTTCCTGATGACGACCGCTTGTGTTGCGATCGAAACGTTTAGATATTTTTTTTATTTTTTTATTCACTTTATTTTATTTGTATTATTTTTTTATCTACATGACTTTACCGAAAGAACCATAGAATATTAACCTTTACCAATTGGCCGTGCCCGGGTGGTGGCGGGTTTAACGACACTTTTATATTCACGCGATCCGACCCAAACCTCTATTGTGGATCTTTAAGGACTCCATTGGCGGCCTTTGAAATATTGTGTTTTTTCACCGAATGCGAAAAATACGGACCTCCCTGTTATTTTGGTTGCCGACCCCTGACCACGGAAGCCCAGTTCACCCTGCGCAGGGGTCCGACAACGTACGCTCAGGAGCGGCCCCAGCGGCTCTTCAAGGGACCGCTCCATGACATTTTTAAAAGCAGCGTCACCGTCTCGTATTCACGGTGCATTGCAGCTCTTGAAATATTAGGGTTTTTTTTATTTTTTACCGAATTCGAAAAGAAAAATGCGGCTCTTCCTGTTATTTTTGGTTTGCTGTGCCCTGCCCCCTAGGTCGACTCGGCCTCAAATGAGTACCTGGTGCGATGTGTAAACGTGAGCACGAGGGAGATGGAGGCGGCCTGGCACGGTGCTTGCCGCCCCCCTCGTGTGCTTTTGCCGCGGCCTGCATAGGCGCTGCCCGCTAACGGCACTTTCCCCAACAGCCTGCTAAGGATACACTTGGGGATGTTTGTCTTCGCAGCATGGGCGCACGGGAACTCTGTGGAGCAGAAGATTTACGTGGAGCTGAAGGACACGGCGGCGTGCGTGAGGCTCATGAACGGCACTCACCAGATCGGCTGCCAATGTGAGTCCTGGGCCCAGCCCATTGTGTGTGTTTTGTCTCTTAATGTGTGTATGTTAATATGTGTGTGTGTGGGGAGCGGTAGTGTAGCGGTTAGCGCGCTGCGCTATGAACCCGGCGCCACGAGTTAGATTCTCGCTCACGGCCAACACCAGTGACGATTATCTGAACCGGTCCTGGGCCTCCGCTAGGTCGACTTAGCTTCAAATGAGTACATGGTGCGGTGTGTAAACATCACCGCTAGGGAGACAAAGGCGGCCGGGCGTGGTGCTGGCCACCCACCCCCTCGTGTCTTCCGGTTCCGTTTCGACGAGACACGCGCGACGCATGTGTACGTCCCAAGAAAAACTGATGACGTACAAGTCCATCATTGGAACACGAAGGTGTTAATTTAACAGGTGCTGCTCATGAACATCACTTGCTTGGACGGTCTTTTAAAGGTTGTGGGGGTTGTGGGGGTTGTCATTGTCAGCGTCTGTGGGCGGTGACACGGGCGTGCTGCACCTGGTGTCCGGCGCGGAAGACCTGGCGTGGGTTCTCAAGGACGGACCCCACTCGCCCTACATGGCTCTGCTGGACAACTACATGTTCTCCAGGTTCGCTGTCCTTCCCGTTCGCTCTCTTGTTGTCATCATCGCAGCATCACCCCCGTGTCGTCGCGTCTCGGAAGCTAAAACCAAGCAGGGTTGAGCCTGGACAGCGCGATGGGAAGAGGGAAAGAAGATGGAAAGGGCACGGATCGATGATTGGTGGGACGCAGCTAAACAGTTGGAACTGACGCCATGAAAGAGACACAAAACGATTTGGTGGGACGCAGCTGAACAGTTGGAACTGACGCCATGAAAGAGACACAAAACGATTTGGTGGGACGCAGCTAAACAGTTGGAACTGACGCCATGAAAGAGACACAAAACGATTTGGTGGGACGCAGCTAAACAGTTGGAACTGACGCCATGAAAGAGACACAAAACGATTTGGTGGGACGCAGCTAAACAGTTGGGACTGACGCCATGAAAGAGACACAAAACGATTTGGTGGGACGCAGCTAAACAGTTGGAACTGACGCCATGAAAGAGACACAAAACGATTTGGTGGGACGCAGCTAAACAGTCGGGACTGACGCCATGAAAGAGACACAAAACGATTTGGTGGGACGCAGCTAAACAGTTGGGACTCGCGCCATGAAAGAGACACAAAACGATTTGGTGGGACGCAGCTAAACAGTTGGGACTGACGCCATGAAAGAGACACAAAACGATTTGGTGGGACGCAGCTAAACAGTTGGGACTCGCGCCATGAAAGAGACACACGGGAGGAGAGAAAGCTTCTGTCAGGGGCGTCAACCTTCAAGTCTAAAGGATGACAACAACAACGCCAACAACTTTGTATGTTGAGCTTCTTTCGCACCATACGTAGCCAACGGCGCTAATTGGAAGTGCGGGGAGGACAACAAACGCAACACAAGAAGAAGTTCTAAAGAAATGACTTCGTCAATCTCGATCAGGGGCGGGGAACCTTTTTTTCTGCCAAGGGCCATTTGGATATTTATAACATCATTCGCGGGCCATACAACATTATCAACTCAAAAATAACCCGTTATATTTGGTCAAACATTTCATTAACTCGCCCCTAATGTGATGGCTGGAACTGCTTCTCTTTGGCGAGGCGTGTGATGTTAGCTGCTATTGATGATGTTGCGATGATAAAGCTCCGAGATTTATTGAATTTCGAGTCCCGCCTGCGGTTGCCTTGGCAGGGCCACACCAAATGATTTCGCGGGTCTTGTATGGCCCGCGGGCCTGACGTTCCCCGCCCCTGATCTAGATGATGATTTAAAAGCGCATAGCTGCAGTGGCTTCCTAATATTGCAAGGAAGAGCATTCCAGACGGCCGCAGAAGCGCATCTGAATGAAGCTTTTTTTATTTTACCAGGTAAAGCCCACTGAGCTCTATAGATTTTTTTCAGAAGTGACCTGGCCACAAATGATAGCTCAACGAAGTGTCTTATCATCGTCATCATGCGGACATTTATAGCAGTAGCCAAATACTCTAAACGCATGTCTCTAAATGTGGAGGGAAAACTGGAGGACCCGGAGAGAAATCCAAACGACCACTGGGAGAGAGACGCAATCTTTAATATGCGGGAGTCAGGGTTGGGGTTGAACCCACGATTTCCTGCATACCAGGCGAGAGAGTTAACATCTTTCCACCGTGGCACCCCCTTGGAGAGGAGGGAGGGGCTGGGATGCGAGGTTGGAGGATTAGGGGCAACGCCATGGATGGCTTTGAAGGGTAGGATAAAGGATCTTGTACATGAATCCGTGTGTGCGTCTCTGTAGATTTTAATGTAACAGTTCCAGACACACCACTGTAGAGGCTTTTTTTTCCTTGCGCACACACAACTACGACTCGGTAGCACAGAAGATAATGCTGACTGTCTAGCAACGACGCCTGCCTAGATAGCCGGGTGACTATTTAGCGACAATGAAGCGATGACGCCAGCGACGACAGCCAAGACCCCGATCCCCCACGACAGCCCAGAACCCCGCTTGCTTATTCCCTCAGCGCGGCCATGCCCCGTGCCTGGCCACGCCCCTCTTCTCGAACTCTCTCGCGGGTTCTAGGAGCTTCCAGATAGATCCCCTCTTTGACCCTTGGCCTAGTTATCCCCCCTTGTGGTCGCTCGCCCTGTATACTGTCTTCTGTTGTTCCTATACTGTTCCCACCCCCGTAATTACCACTTGTGGCCCCTAGTGGGCGCACTCTCTACGTGTTGTCGAGTGAAGGACGATGCGGAGGCAGGCTTGAGGTAAGGGCTCGCGCCGAGGGTTTATTAGGGTTAATGAGGAGGGGTAGACACTTCACCAGGCATAGGGGGGTCCTTCCACAGTGACCCTGTGCTCTGTCTGTTCCTAGCCCCGCTAGCTGCCGGCTCTCTCCAGACTCTCTACCCTACCCCTGGTTCCTGCCTCAACCGTCTACCGTTCCAGGCTTCCACAGTGACCCCGTATTCCTCACCGGGTCGTCCCTAAGTATCTCCCCGAGAGATTGCGTCATCGCCCCGGAAGGCGCGCATGATGTCACTTCCTGTGACGTCACTGCCACGGAAGGCGCGCATGACGTCACTTCCTGTGATGTCATCGCCCCCGGAAGGCGCGCATGACGTCACTTCCTGTGACGTCATCGCCCCGGAAGGCGCTTGTCGTCACTTCCTGTGACGTCATCGTCCCGGAAGGCGCGCATGGCCTGATGTCCCTGTACTGCTCCTCTACATATCTATAAAGGTGGGGAGCGGGACTGCTCCTGAGCTTCTCCTTGGTCGACTCAGCCTTCAATGAGTACCCGGTGCGGTCTCTGATTCATCGCCACTGGGGAGACAAAGGAGGCCGGCTGGGCGTGGTGCTGGCCACCCACCCCGTCGTGTGTCGTAGGCGCTGCTCGCTAACAGCACGTGCACCAACAGTCCGTTACTGTCTTCACGGGGAATCTTTGTCTCTGTGTATCTCTGGAGGAGGCTCGTGAAGGACGCTACTGGGGAGTTAGAGGCAGTCGCCCTCCAATAACAGCCGAGTGCAGAGGAGTGACGCTCAAAACAACGAGCGGAGTGCCAGGCGGCTAAAACACAGCAAGTTGGCATGGGAGGGGTCACAGTTGATGTGCATCTGCCAGTCATCTCGGTTCGTCAACCCACAGCACCTGGGTCTGTCCTGTGACCTGCCATTAGTGAGCCTTCGTCACTTCACGTGGCCCCGGATTGCACCTGGCCTGGCACAAGCGCTGTGGTGACGTCGCAGCTATAAGTTGGGATCTTTGTGATCTCCGTGTCCGCAGGGAGACCATGATGCAGCTGAAGGTGGCGCGTGGCCGTGTGGCCGGCGTTGTGGTGATGCTGCACCAGCAGGAGGCGCCGCCCGTCGCTCCCGTCAACTTCTCCCACGACCTCTCCTGCCCCAACGACAAATTCGGTGAGGAGTTGGGGTGGGGGGTGGAGGTCTTACGTCAGCAGTGTGCCCGTCACGATCGCCATAACGTCAGCGATGTGCCAGTGTCTGTGTCCCCCTGTGTCCCCCTGTGTCTCTGTAGGACTGTACAGGGACACTGTCTGTGTCTCTGTGTCTCCCTGTGTCCCTGTGTCTCTGTGTCTCTGTAGGAGTGTCTCTGTGTCTCCCTGTCTCCCTGTGTCTCTGTAGGACTGTACAGGGACACTGTGTCTCTGTGTCTCCGTGTCTGCGTCTCTGTGTCTCTGTAGGAGTGTACAGGGACACTGTCTGTGTCTCTGTCTCTGTAGGAGTGTACAGCGACACTGTGTCTCTGTGTCTCCCTGTGTCTCTGTCGGAGTGTACGAGGACAATGTCTGTGTCTCTGTGTCTCCTTGTGTCTATGTAGGAGTGTACAGGGACACTGTGTCTGTGTCTCTGTAGGAGTGTACAGGGACACTGTGTCTGTGTCTCTGTAGGAGTGTACAGGGACACTGTGTCTGTGTCTCTGTAGGAGTGTACAGGGACTGTGTGTCTGTGTCTCTGTAGGAGTGTACAGGGACACTGTGTCTGTGTCTCCCTGTGTCTCTGTAGGAGTGTACACGGACACTGTCTGTGTCTCCATGTCACTGTGTCTCTGTGTCTCTGTGTCTCTCTGTGTCTCTGTAGGATTGTACAGGGACACTGTCTGTGTCTCTGTGTCTCTGTCTCTGTAGGAGTGTACAGGGACACTGCCTGTGTCTCTGTGTCTCTGTAGGAGTGTACACGGACACTGTCTGTGTCTCCATGTCACTGTGTCTCTGTGTCTCTCTGTGTCTCTGTAGGAGTGTACAGGGACACTGTGTCTCTGTGTCTCCCTGTGTCTCTGTAGGAGTGTACAGGGACACTGTCTGTGTCTGTGTCTCTGTGTCTCTGTAGGAGTGTACGAGGACACTGTGTCTCTGTGTCTTTCTGTGTCTCTGTAGGAGTGTACAGGGACACTGTGTCTCTGTGTCTCCCTGTGTCTCTCTGTGTCCCTGTCTCTCTGTGTCTCTGTAGGAGTGTACGTGGACATTGTCTGTGTCTCTGTGTCTCCCTGTGTCTCTGTAGGAGTGTACAGGGACACTGTCTGGTCTGTGTCTCTGTGTCTCCCTGCGTCTCTGTAGGAGTGTACAGGGACATTGTCTGTGTGTCTCTGTGTCTCCCTGTGTCTCTGTAGGAGTGTACAGGGACACTGTGTCTCTGTGTGTCTGTGTCTCTGTAGGAGTGTACAGGGACACTGTCTGTGTCTGTGTGTCTTCCTGTGTCTCTGTAGGAGTGTACGAGGACACTGTGTCTGTGTCTCTGTAGGAGTGTACGAGGACACTGTGTCACTGTGTCTCCCTGTGTCTCTGTAGGAGTGTCTCTGTGTCTCTCTGTGTCTCTGTAGGAGTGTACAGGGACACTGTGTCTCTGTGTGTCTGTGTCTCTGTAGGAGTGTACAGGGACACTGTCTGTGTCCTGTGTGTCTCCCTGTGTCTCTGTAGGAGTGTACAAGGACATTGTCTGTGTCTCCCTGTGTCTCTGTAGGAGTGTACGAGGACACGGATTACGCCCACTGCCGCCGCGCCGTGTGGAACCCGTCGGGTTCCGGCTTGGCTCTCGAGGGACTTTAGCTTCCCGGTTTTCCTGCTGCGCGACGCCAACGAGACCAGCGCCGTCCTGCAGGTGTCCGCAACGCACGGCCCCCCCACCCCGGAGGATTCTGACCACCACCACCACCCCAACACCACCACCACCCCACCACCACCGCCACCACCACCACCCCACCACCACGCCACCACCACCCCACCAACCACCACCCCACCACCACACACCACCACCACCACCCCACCCCCACCACCACCACCACCACCACCCCACCACCACCGGTTGCGGCGGTGCACTCTGCACGTCGCCTGTAATCCCCTCGCGCTGTGGGGGCGGCGAGGGTTGGCGGATCAAGCAAACATCGTGGACGCCTCCGTTCTCGCCCGTGGGCGGTGGGCGGTGGGCGTTGAGTCTCCGCCCCACCCCCGTACCCCCCTGGCCCTCCAGGAGAAGTCATCTTGCTCCAAGCGTGGGTGGACTAATCTCACGCGTCGCCTACGGCTCCTGTGGATCCCCTTCTCTCCCCGTGTCCTCCTCCCCCCCCATGTGGTTCCGCACTCATCCTCATGCGCGTCTCCCCTCCGTGCCTGCCCCACCTACTCCTCCTATTCCTCCTCCCCGTGTCTCCCGTCTCGTCCCCATGTCTCACTGCTCCCCCCCCCGCCCCCCCCCTCACCTCCCCTCTCTTCCCGATGCCCCCCCCCTCCCCTACCCCCGCCCCAGTGCGTGAGGGATCACAATGTGCCGATCAACGCGACGTCGAAGGTGGTGGATTACCCTCTGTGCGCGATTCAGCTCAGTCTCACATGCACGGGGTTGCGCGACACCGTGACCTGCATGCGCCGCTCTAATCTCTTCAACAACCTCAACCCTGGTGGGCGACGCGAGTGGAGCGAGTGGATAGAGCGAGTGGAATGAGGGACCCATGGGCTTACTTAGAAACCAACGCACTCGCTTAGAGACCCATAGACTATCATAGAGACCCATAGACTTGTTTAGAGACCATAGACTCGTGATGTAGAGACTAACATAGTCACGTAGATACACGAGACTCTAGTACATATGTAGACGCATAGAGACCTATAGACTCATTTAGAGACCCACAGACTCACATAGTGATCCATAGACTCATTTAGAGACCCACAGACTCGTATAGACCCACAGTTTCACACCATCCGTGTGTGATCCACTGACCCTCGCTTGCTGCTGCTGCGCCGGATCACAGCTGCCACGTGCAGCAGCGTAGCCACCACAGATGCCGCCCATGGGATGGTGGCCCCGCACCTGTGATTGACACAACGGCAACGGAAAGAGAGAGCCCTTCCAAGTTGGGACGTCTACCTTGGAGATTGAGCGATGGGCCATCGGCTTCTGTGGCTTGAGCGAGATTGAGCGTGGCATCGCAGGGCCGTTGAGAAGACGCTGATGGCGTGGGAATGAAGTGATTGGGCAGTTGATGAAACGTGGATGATGCACATGTGTGTGTGTGTGTTGAACTTCTTCACGCCATACGTAGCCAAACCACGGGGAAGGACAACAGACTAAACACAAAAGCAATTCTAAGGAAGTTGGTTTTCAATTTCGTTTCGTGGTGTAATGTAATGGATAGCAATGTAGTGTATAGTGTAGTGTATGTTGAACTTATCTTGCACCGTACGTGGCAAACCATACTAATGAAAGGTACGGGGAAAGGACAACAAACTAAATACGAAAAGCAGTTCTTAGGAAGTGAGTTTTCAATCGAGATGATTCCAATCTGCGTAGCGCCAGTGGCTTTCTAATATCGGAAGGAAGTGCATTCAGACAGCCACAGAAGCGCACCTGAAAGCACGAGATGCGATACGTTGATGTTGCTTATGATGATGCTGATGATGCTTGTGGTGGTGATTGATGATTATGATTCTGCTGCTGCTGATGATGATGATGCTGATGATGATGATGATGCTGCTGATA